GAGATTTGCTTGATGGGTTCTCTGCAGAAAGTAATTTGCTTGATGGTATGCTTCAGGTTTCAATTTACTCGATGGGACCCCATGAATGATGCACCGTCACCCATGTTCTAATAACAACTAGAGAGAGTGCAACGAGTCCACCGCAACCGCAGACAGAGTGGACTTCGGACTCCATCACACTCACTTGTTTTTATGTTGTCATTCTGTATCCGGCCACTCTCCAAGGAGACGAGCAAAGAAATGTTCATCCGGAGTTTATTTGTTCGTCACAAATGGGTGATCGTGAGATTTGAGCAGGGTTACGGAAGGAGTGTGCAGGTGGGAGGCAACAGATAAATCCGCGAATCTTTGCGGTGGGAAGAATTGAAGCACAACAAATTGCACTTCGAGCAAAATTGATCTTTGTCCCCGTGATAATCCACCAGAAATTATAATCAGGGATTGATCTCTGATTGTAATTTCCGCATTGTAACTAGTAGTAATCGTAGTTACAAGAACTATGTCCGACGGCACATTGTCGTTGGGGTCTCATCGGGTAAAACTAAACCTGAGAGGTCCCATCAAGCAAATTACTTTCCGCAGGGGTCCCATCAAGCAAATCTCTCAAGAAAGAGTGAAGTGTTGAGATATGACATAAATAAACTTATGTCACATCTTTTCAAGTCTTCTAGCTATGTACTGATCATGATAGGAATTTTTACTCCAAAATTACACTTGAAATTGTCACTATTAGATAGTATCATGTTGCTATTGGAAATAATGACGTACCGTTTTTATTGAACAGAATTACAAATTAGAAACTAATTGTTCTAGAATTTTACGTCGCTAATGAGAGTATGTCCCTCGAAAGAGATGACACTATTGGGAAGTTTAACTCTATACACGTCATATTGACCACAACTCAATTGTTCGGTCCGGTTTGAGGATCGCTGAACTTCAAATTTTAAGCGTAGACGTAGAATCGAAAGTCGAATCAAAATCAATAATGTTTTTTCTATCACGCTCGAGTTGCCAAAACTGACAAGAAGAGCCGTTTTTGATCGTTAGAATGGACTTGGAGAGTGGGAGATGAAATTACCGATACAGCAGCTGGAGCATTATCTTGTATTCTTCAGAGTCCATCTTTGCAATCCATCACTTCAACACATGCAAAGAGTTGACTCTTATTCTTGGTCATTTACAGACCACAAGCAGCGTGCATAGGTTTTGTGGCCACATTGCAGTTATTCTCCTTTCCAAGTACAATTCGATCACAACCAAGCAGTATAACATAGAGGAAACAACCAAGGTGTTTCAGCCATGCAACTATGCCACACCATACTTATCGAATTGGATAACAGTCGTCAAAAGAGGTCCGCGATACCGCATAATGCGCACTTATGATAATCAAAATGAGGTAATAGTAATCATAACATGCTTTACAACACTGCAGATTATAGAATCAAGCAAAGATAACATACCTTACCTCTAAAATTGATCATGAGTTCTACTCAAAAGCATGATCAAGCAGAGATAACTTAGATTACATCCAAAATCTATCATGAGTTAGATCGATCAAAAGCATGCTGCAAGGTCTGACACTTGGAGCTAAGAGAATACCAGCACAGAGTAAGAAGAGAGAGGAGAGACGGGAAAGCCAAGAGGGGTCGGCTCCTCCTCTAGCTCACCGCAGTCAACTTTGGGGACTGATTTAGTAGATATAGTTCACGACGGTGTGCGTAACGGCGAGACCCCAACGGTGTACGTATGAAAGGCCCGGCCGTCATACGGTCGGGGTTCAGCTAGTGACAAGTGTGGATGGGGGCATTTATGCAGAACATACAAATAATCTTGGTCACCAGATTTCTGTAGATGAGACTCATACCATCTGTTATACTGCGTGGAAATAGTAGCTTAGGTCATATATACGAGTATCGAAAACTACTTCAAAATGTCTTTCCAATAATTACGTCCATCCCGTCAAACAGATAGATACCTGGAAACCTCATTTCAAGAAATTCCGAAAATGTCCAATTTTCTCAATGACAAAGAGAATGTAGATAACTTTCATTAATAGGATGGAGTATGCATCGTAATTAATACGTACTGCACCGCCATGTATATACTGGTGAGACTCTCGCAGACTCTTCCCGCATTGGTCGATGGCGAATGATATTTTGCGATCGGGAGGAAGCCTGCGCTCGAGATCGACGGTCTCCGATCTCATATCTCGAGCTTGGCCTCGATTGGCGGCGGCACGAGCTACGAACGGGGAGAGGAGGCGACGGATACATTTTGCGCGAGGGCGGTTTGGAGAATCGAGAATCCCGTCGAGAGTGGAAATCATGGGAATGTCCAAAGTAGAGCCCCGAAGCGATGCATCGTGCCTACGCAGTAAAATAACTCTCGATCTACATCGACTCGAGTGGAATATACTGGAGCCTGCAATAATGGAGAGTCATTAGGATAAGTGGAGCATGGGTTCAATGTCAGCCTCCTGCGCTCATTGACTACATCGGTTAGTTAGGCACAAAAAGTGGCAAGAAAATATCTCATCCCGTGCACAAGTTTGGACCAATGCCATTCTTTTTCCTGTTCAGCTCGTTCGGTCTGTCCGATGGCTGTTGGCAACGGAGTCTGATCGCACTTCTGCGAGGCATTTTGGGATGCGGCTCATGGGCTTCAGTTGCACTGTCCGTCGGCGTACGAAAATAAAAACATAAACGTGTACTTTATGCGGCCTAATTTGGGCACTCCGAAGAAATGAATAACTTGAAGACAAATTTTAGGGTAATCACATAAATATAATAAACGCGGATTACAGGTTAAAAGCCTCTAGAGCAACTAGATAGTAACTTCAGCGGCTTCTTTCATACATTCTTTTAACTTGCATGACAATAAATGTGTAAAGCAAATATATAAAACTGAAGTTTCTGTATATGTATAGACTATTTTCAACTATTCATATGTACACGAAACTTCAATTTACCGAAATTTCGTGTATTCTATATGATATAACAAGTTCTATATGCTATACCTTATTTCGCACTCTGCGTCACACCCCGGCACCTTCTTAGGCATCTAAGAATCAATAACACGGAAACTATGTAAAATTGAAGAAAATCAATAAAAAAACACGAATTATAATTTCCGCCAAAAAAAATTAATACAAAAATCATTATATTACTCACTATTGTTCAACCTGATCAAAACCAAGAAAAAGCAAAGCAACAAAAAGTTTATATATAAATATATATATTTCGTTTTCTATTGGGTTATCTCGGCCTTCATTCACGATGCGAATAAAGCGAGAGAGAAGAAAGATGCAAACTTCTCCGGACTCTTTTTTTGACTCTTTTTTTTTTATTTGACTCTTTTTTTGTGAAGTGGTTACTAATGTACTGCATTCTCAGCTCAGTTGGATAGAGCAACAACCTTCTAAGTTGAAGGGTACAGGTTCATATCCTGTAGACTGCATAAAAGATTTGCTATATTTAAGAAGTGTTTTCTCTTTTGGTACATTCAATATTTGAGAACCGGTGTTAAGTTTTCCCTTAGGGTTAAGAATATCACCTATCTCTATTTGATCATGGAGAAACTTGTTGTTAATATTGTCAACGTCGTCACCATCAACGCTAACGGCAAACGCACCGGACCTTCCTCCAGTACTATATATCACTGTCACTTTTTTGTGTAAATGCAGCACATGGCTTGGAGTGTCAATCATTTTGACTAAGACTGAGGAGCTCATCTCTGACATACCGACGAGATATTTATTAGCTACGATGAGTAACTTCAGTAAGTTTTTTCTTCTATTTTGCTATAACGATCATTCTTTGCAAATGTGAAGCCAAATTATTGGTAAAATAATATAATGCTGGGAAGGGGGCAGATTACACGCACTTTTTACAATATATCTGCCTTCCTTTTTTGGTTTAATTTATGATCGCTTTAGCTTTGGAGTCGAAAAACGCAAGCAAGAACAATGCATTTCGGGCCAAAATAAAAGACTTAAACAGAAAAAAACAACTCTCTATATTTTTATAACCAGCCCTTAATCGCATTAGTATATTGTAAACAGCGTGAACAAATCGTTTGAGATGGGTCCCTTCTTTCAGCACTTCATCTCAGTTCCGACCTCAATGCCTGAGCGATGAACCTTGCACTCTGCCTTTCGCTCGCCATGTTCCGTCATGTTTGATACAATGATGAGAAGGGCGAGTCCTAAATAGACTTCGACAGGGAGGAATTGGACAAATAAATATTCAAGTTGGATGCAACTTAAATAAACGAGATAATACCAACTGAGAGCATATATTCTTTGGCCGCCACCTTTTTGAACCACTGATGCGTGCAAGGTTGTGCGGTGAAGTTGAATTTGGTATACATGTGTGTCCCTGGCACGTTGCATTCATGATTAAATGGGTGTAAAAAGGGCAAGCTATGATGTTGGTCTTCACCAGAACAAATGGTGAATTATTGTCCGACCATCACTCAACATTCAGTGAGGTCAAGTGGTGAAAACAATTATTTGTATAATTGCTGAAATTTCTGGGTTCCACCCTCCGGCGCAGTTTAACTTACAGCCATGCGTGTCCCACATTCAAGACCACGGTAGGTTCCAACTCCTGACTGCGCTCACAACATCTTGGACAGTCGTAGTCGGGGTAGAAAGGGTTCATGAGTGGCAATTGTCTGTCACATGATTAGGATGATCTGATTGGCATAAGTCATGTAGGGGACTAGAGATCACCCACAAAGTTGGATGATTGGATATTTCCGTGTGAGGAAGATTCGATCAGATTCCGTTAGCTCGAGGTGTGCAACTTTTCGCAGATATGATTTCGTACAGATTTGTGGGCGCTTTTCGAGAGGGCGCGTCAAACCTCCATGGTCAAAGAGGAAGCCCTGATTTTGGTTGCTTCTCCTTTCTGCCAGAAGGTGGAAATTTTGTAGACACTAAGTACTTGCTGCAGTGATTGATAGCGAGTACCTTCCTTATCACGCACCCCGCCCGGCCCTTTATCATGCGACTCCTCCACCTGCTTCCCTCGTCACATAGGGCGAGTTTCTGTGGGCTTACAGGCAAGTATATGTCCATGATATCAGAAACAATAATTGGCCGGGACAATAACAACCATCGTGCGGTAGGATGCCATTCTATTACTTGCCTGGAGTTCCGAATTTCAGTGGGGATTATATATCTACCCAATCGAGCTTCGACATGAGTTCCTCTGGCTTATTGGCGTTCGAACGGCAGCATCCACCACGAATGTGGCCGGTGGCCGGTGGTCCATTGCGTGGTTATAGCCTGACCCATCGACATCACAACTTCGAGTCTGCAACCGTGAATTGCCTCCAAGTTTCCAAGGATTAACGAGTCCATCCATCGTCATCACACCGTGTCGGCCAAAGCATGGCTGCCACGGGATGTCGGTCGACGAACCGAAGTGAAGTGGCAGCCATGAGCTGTTACGATGGACGGGCAACAACGAAGGTCGAGAGATCCTACTACTACCTCTCGAGAATCGACCGAGTTGAGACGAAAAAGAAAAATTGGGTCCTCTCGGGAAGCATGTATGGAACTTCGAACTGCACACGACTCGCAGGATCGCAGCGCCTAGAGCATGTTGGGCGAATTACATCCTAGGCACGAATGTAGACTCAGGGGGTTGGGGGACGGGGAGGGGCTAAGGGAGCAGGAGAGAGCGAAGCCCTCTTGGTTAGTGCCATCCGTGTCGCTGATGATCTGATCAAATAAACTCACTTTATTGCCTTGATAATCACTATATTCGATCATCAAGGCATGGCTGTAAGTTTTCAGCATTCGGTGGTGTACTGAGTTCGACGAACAGTAGAAAGTTTTCCAATCTTTTATAGTGCCATAGTAGTTCGTGAGAAAAAAATTTCGGTTCCATGAACATTCCGCCTTTACGCAGACGAAGTTAAGATCACCGGAATTTGGACATAATTGGCGCTCGAAAGGATTTATAAATCTTCGTTGTTCTTACTAATTCAGCATCCTTAATGATTCTCGTTTCAGGATTTACTCATGAATCTAGTTTTTTAGAATCCTGAACAAACAAATGCGGAGCAATTTCCCGAACATGCAAGAAGACTTTTTCCAGAAAAGCTGATAATATGTCACCTCTTATCATGTCGTTCAGTGTTTTTCGTCTCCTTGATTGTGAGTCACGCAGTTATAGATCAGTATGTCTACATGAACATGTTGTAGTACTTGCAGGCATTTGCTGGGGTTCTTTCTGTTCATGGCCTCACAATCTACACCGCTGTGAAGATGCCAAGTGTTGGTGAAATACCCGGAATGATGCAACGAATGTCTAGCTTTCAATGGGTACGTAAACTGCAGATTGTGATAAAAACTTTCAACTTTTCGCTGAATGGTTAAGACTTAATGGTAGATCATAAAACAAGTCATATAGAGAGGATCATACGGAGCTTACCCCCAGTGATATGATATAGATGATTGAGTTTTATTTAAGGTAAAAAAAGTTAAAAAAATTCCAAATCATATGTTGATATATTTTAGGGGAAAAAATGAAATCAATTTTTGTTTGAATAGAAATTCAGTTTTGATAAATAAATTTTTAAGTTTGCAATTAATCTTTAAAAAATAGAAAGTCAAGATACACATGTTTAGTTAAATTTAATTGAAAATGAATACAAAATCAAAATACATAATATGTGATCATAATCGAGATGAACTATTTTACCTTATATTAGAAGTTTCAAATGATTTTCTGCTAATGCAAATGTTATACTAAGCAAAATATTTATCTACATAAAACAAGAATCTTCTTGTAGAATTATAGATTCATGTAAGTAGACAAATTACATAAAAATATAATGTAAAGTAATATAAATGACATAGTGATATTGTTATCACATCGCTTAAATTTTTCTTATTGCATCTTGTGGTACTAAATTGAATTCATGATTCATAGTCTAAAAGAATCGTAAAATGATATCATATTCAGATATGCATATATATTAATGAGAAAGCATTTGCAAATATGATTTTTACAACGCCATACATCATCCAATGAAGAGTACATATATCATACTATGATAAGTTATATCAGCGTAAAAGAGTCGTGAAATCAAATATGAGCGTAATGTTGTCAATCGTATACGTCAACTCTTAAATTATTTAAATTAATGCGCGTTTTGCACCTAGATTATAGTGAATGTGACAGCCAATGAGGAGGGAAAAAAATTATCACCGGTTCATTTTATTTTGTAATACCGATTTGTTTGTTGTACAATTAAAACACAAACATTTGAATTTTAACAACTTGAAAATTCATGAGCAACGATTTAACATTTCAGATTCTAAACCGGATTATAATCCAAAAGATTTGATTTAGAAATATATTGCTCAAAACCTGGGGAGTCAAACCTCAACCGCTTGTTTTTTTGGTTTTGCTCTCCTTTTTCCAGCATGCTACAATACACCTTGGGATTTCCCTAAAGGTTAGCAGGATGCTTTACATGATGAACATATTAATTGTAAGTTTCGTACGAGCACTTTGGGTATTGTCTGGGTGAATACTACAGGGTAAGCTCATCAAGCCGAAGTTTGGTAAAGGATCTCCATTCTCAGCAAGGTTTGAACCATTGTTTTCAATTTGTACGTATCTAATTGTAAGTCATGTAGATTCACTCTTTATTTCATCATATAATTAGACTATCTCAATTCTATTATAAGAGCATTGATCTCAAATATGCCAATTGTTCATATTTTTATCCTCTAAACGTTAATTATCATCTTTAATTCTAGACATCATTTCATAATGTCTAAGAAACTATGATTCTAATGATTGCAAATTAACACAATTACAAGTGTTGTTGACTTTGTTAGTAACTAATTATTTTGAATCTCAATCAGATTGAGGAAGAGCAAGTAATGAATATGACTATTAAAATATAAACATAAATTGGAGCAAGTAAACAATATCACAATCAGTTCTTTGTTGGATTTTAATCTGGATCACTACACTACAACAAAGAGAAAAATTTGAGTAGTAATATATGATATGAAGTATATGATATTTGATATGAAGTAAAGAAAAAACAACATCAGTGGATGAAGACATGGAATATTTTTGCAGGATGTATGCTGGATCAAATTTTAATTAAACAACAAGTTTTCAAATTTTGTCAAATCAATTGTACCCGATATAACAATTTGTTAATAAAGATTTAACGTACTACTTCCAACATTCTTTTTATCAATTGGCGAAAAATCAATGTTCATAATTTTCATTGCATCTTTGAAACAATATTTCAGATCAAAGGTTCCAAACATACACGCACACATCAAAACCTACCAATGATAAGCATGCAATCTATGTGCGAAAAAGAACCCTTGTTAGACCGAATTGAAATAACTTCAAAGGTGAGAGATATCCTGAAGCCACCTAGTGAAGAGTTTTCCCTCCATGCTTCACGCCATTGGCATAGGTACGAAGAAATGCCGCTTCAGCTTCTTTTGAATTCAAATTGAATTCTCTCATACTTCTAAATTAGCCTAAATTAACTTTGTTGATGAGACTAAAGTAAGCTAATGTAGGTTGTTTCGGCGACTGAGTAATGTAAGCATGACTGAATATGAGTAAAGGAGGTATGAATGAACTCAAATCATTGTTGTGTACACCGCTAAAGATTGTAGAGACTAAAGAAACTATGTCAACCGTGATATACTGCATGTAATTAAGCATATGTCAAATGAACAAGCGATATGCAAGATGATATATATTCTATGTTGAGTTTCTTTTTAGCCTAGAGTGCACCAAGATAAACTAGAGTAGGATCACTATCAGAGCTTATTTCTTATGAATGTAACATGCTAAGTTCAAATTTGTCCACACTCCCTTGTGGTTTGTGTCCACATAACGAGATGTTGCTAGAGGAAGAACCTCAGCGAGAGTAGACAATACCTAATAGTAAAAGGAATTTTGAGATTAGTCAAAAGATATTGTAGAGTACTGGAACTAAGATCTATCTTAATAGAAATGAAATATTTGGGCTAAAAAGAAATAAATTTCATAGACATTCATGCATCATTGGATAAAAAAGAGCAGAAGTCTGAAGGCTAAGGTAAATCAACCCCTCCACATGACTCTCACACAAATCAAGGTAAAATCCGCAATTGCAAACAAGAAACCTAGCGATGAAAAATTTGTGTATATCTCATTGTTATAATATTTCTTCTCCTTCCGTAAATGAACCCTACCCGTTAACATGAAATCTACAAAGATAATATCTGTCTCCATGCCAAAATTTCCAGGGCACCCCATGATATAAACAAATAAGTCCTGGATACTTCTACTGGAACGGAGAGAAGGAATAAATGTCTCAAAGCAATCAAATGGAGGGTCTTGACTTTGCAATCAAGTGTAACCTCATAATTGATGAGATTGTCAACGGGTAATGAGGAAGAAGTTGCCGGGTATCTTGTGGCAAGCACGACCGGACGTGCCGGTTCCCGGTTCCCGGCGAACGCGTAGCGGGCGGGATTCTCTGTCATTTGACAGCAGACCAGAGTTAGAAGAATGGAGATTCGGTTTGGCTCGCGAAGCAGAGCTGCTTGATCGAGGATTCGATCGATTCGCAGATTTGCAGGTCGCTGAAAACCGTCTCGCTGTGCACTTGCATTTACTGTCGAAGCGCAGGTATGGATTTTCCTGGCAGAGGTCGAGATTTATGAGTATTTCTGAGTATTATTGCAGTCCAAAATTCCTGTTCAAAACTGTGTGATTAGATGTATAGAGCTACAATTCGTGTCGATGCGTTTGATTGATCGGTATGTCATCAGGTCAGCGTTCGTGGGAGTCATTGGTGCATTTTGGTTCCATGTTAATTCCTTTAGGGTTTAGGGTTTATTTCGTGCTAGTTCCTAGAATTTATCGTTGTTGATTATTGTGGCTTTGATCGGGATGCATCTTTCAAGTCTGCGTTCCTTCTGTCTTAAAATCGCAGAGAAGGTGAGTTCAAGCATATGTGATGAGCGAAAAAATGGAAACACCCTCTGCAGAAAATTTGTTTTCGGTTTTGAGATACTACACTGGGCATCCGAGGGAGGTGAAACCATCGAAAGTGATTGACTTAAAATCAGAACGTCAATTTGTGGAGCTTCTGCATGAAGGAGTTCCTGTGGTGGTCGCCTTTACACTGAGGTAAGCCTTCCTTGTGATCATGTAACCAATGAGACTCGTAGTGATGTAATTAGTGAGAGTTTGGACTCGGGAGGTTTGGTTTTATTTGATATTAGTAGAGGTATTCCAACTACCTGCGTTCTGTTCGCTGAACACATGCTCAGAAGCATGGTGAATTTTTAATCGTTCGAATGATTCGGTAAAGTGAGCTCATAGGAAGGAGTCAGGTCCAACTCCGGGGCAGTGGGCTTTAAATGTACTCTCACAAACAGGCGACAGAACGAAATGCTGTGCAGGACTGAGAAAATACCCAACGAATGTTTTCCGGTCTCACATAATTTCTACTGTATGGTCTCAGATGTCCTTGGACCAAACGATCTGACAGAGTAGTGGAGGATGCATCATCAGAGTGGTATCCTCATATCAAATTCATGCGTGTTTGTATCACTTTTAACTGCTTCGATCTCCTGAGATGTACAAACGTGACATTCCTCTTTTCTCTGTGTGTCGATGTAGGACCTTATGCATTGTACTAAGAGCGTTTAGTGTTGCCAGCACAGGTGGAGTGTCCTAAATATCCTGGCTTCTGTATAGCCCGGCAAACGAAGGACTATCCATTCGTGGAGATATTTCACAGCCCGAAACAAGTGATCTTCTTCTCGTCCTATCAGAGTTTTTTGCTTGTTGTTTTTGGTTGTTTCTTTTTCTGTAGTTAATACTGCCCATATTGAATGAGCATGCCTTGAACATTTGTACGAAGACCAACATTGGAACATTTGTTTGTTGTAAACCAGGGAGAAACTGAAGGTGGTGCCAGAGAAGGCTCTGTCACCCGTTACTCCGTAAACGTTCTTCCGGTGAGTCTAGACCCGTGCCTGGACTGCAGGCCCCAAAGGCCATATGCGAGAATACGCCTACATCTTGTCTAGTGATCAGATTAATGTATGGGCGTACAGGTATTACTTTCATAGTATTGTGTCATGTGCCGGAGGCCATATTGTTCCATAACTGAAAGAGCTTGGTTGGAATGACGCAGTTCAACCACGACATGAGTCCGTATGGCTTTAGAGAGTTTTTCAAAATTCATGGGTTATCGTGATTTCGGGGATCTTTTGTGACCACCGGGCTCCGAGACGCATCAAGAGAGGCCTTCTGAAAGAATGAGAATGTCGAAGACAGGGCACTTCGACAAAGGAGAGGCACTCAAACCTCTTGTCTTGCTTGTATCAACCGGCCCTTGTTCAGAAGCCGATATCAGTGTTATGGTTGTAGGCGGAACTCGCTAGAATTACCCTCAGGAGAACACGCAGACTTTTATGATAGATCCGAGTTCCCAAGCAACCACTACAATTGATGGTTCAAGATTGTGCCGGTGGTGACTAGATCTCAATGGAGCCCATTGATTCAGAGGCCAATGTTGTGAAATCTGGCAGAACTCCAACACTCCTTAGGCAGAACATGCATTTCACTTGCACACAGGTGGAATCTGTTACAGGGCCCCAAGAACACGGACTTCAGCAGAGTGATGTAGATGGTTTTGATTTGACCCTCCGTGGCCTTCTGATGCTTTTGCAATGCCGCATACGCCGCCTTTCTCTGGTCTTCGGATGATGGACCTGAAGAAGAAGAATCTCCCAGTGACACCTCTTACAGTGACACCTACATCAACCACCCTGCGGTTTATGGGAATGTGGCTGCTGCATCGGCTTAGAATCCAAATGCGAATGGCAGTTTCTGACGTGACCTTTCCTCTGGGTTCATTTGGGGTGTGATGATTCCTGTCCTGGAGAGACGAACTATTGGATCACAGCAGAAAAGCTTGGACGAAGCTGATGGACGTGCACCTGGTTTTGATTCTGTGCTCTCGTAGTCCGTTGAGCTCGTTTCAGGATCATGGCCTTAATCTTTGTACATTATGCAGTGTAGGGTAGGCGTTTGTTCCACCTCAATTGGTTTTCATCACGCAGTTACTTAGATTTGTAGGCCTTCTTCTTTATCGAGCCTATTGTATAATTCGGATTCGTGGATATGCGGTTGAAGTTTTGAGAGTTCAATTTATCCACGAGTAGCCATTAGTTCCGACTGTCCTGTAAAATCCTGTAGTTCTAATATTCATTTGTAGATTAGGAATTTAGTTTAAAACTTCTTGTAACTATTCATTTGATCTATCTGCACTGTATAGAATGTACTGGTTTCACTCCACGGCCTTGCTCTTTGTATATGCTGTATTGGTTGTCTTTTGAACATGAAACGATCATTGTCCTGTGAAATTTGATTGTGTAACTCATCAGAAATGCTTCGTCAAGATGTTGAAATGTTACGCTATTATCGCTTAAGACTTCACGTCTGGAAAGGACCGCGAAGATGTATATTTAGAAAGTATGTATGTAGATCTATACAAGTTGCAATTGTCGGTGTGAGCAGTTCGACTCCGAGAAATCAGCAGCAGAGTTATCAAAGTAGTAAATAGTGAAGCATCCACCTACGAAAGCTATTACACAATTATAATATGTCTAATCCATTGCACGGACTGCAAGTGGATTAGACATAGTACAATTGTGCCGGACCGTGGCAAATGTATTAAATCATTACAAGTGGATGGTGCTTTTTAGTAATTCATCTAATAAGTAATAGTGAAATACCGGTCGCTGCTTTACTGCAAATCCTATACACTTAAACTATTATACATATTCACAGCTTTACAGTGAATTCTAAACGCCAAGGATTGGGGCTGTCCACAGTCGTCATTTTGTAAGCTTGATGAGTACATACAATTTTTTCACAACCAACGCTTCTGTTCATCCGGTTACTTCACTTCAAGCAGTGCTTATTCATGTTCGTTGCCTTCCAATGATATAATAACCAGTTGACGGTTTCTACAAGTTCGTTCAAGGCCTGAACTGACTTCCACTCCTCCTCCTCGCACAATATTTAGCACTCCTAGATAATTACCACTCCTAATTAGCATAATGTTCCGAATTAGTTACATTGCTCAAACCCCACTTCGCTACCCACACAAGGGGGCCGAGACGAACAGAAGACAAGCCACGACTTCTCTAAACCACGACACTGTGGCCATCTGTCCAGGCATGGGCTATCAACAGATTCCATACTAAGGTGTCACACCGCGGAAAGTAACTTTCACAAACTAGGAATGTCCTCTCTTGAATCCACATTCCGCATCTCACTTTTCAGCTGGGCTGGCTTTGGTGCCAAAAGCAACGCATTGCACCAAATGAAGATTTTAAAATATCAGACAATTTCTTTCAAGCCAAACACTGCAATCTAAGAACAAAATCTTACAAAATACAAATCCGTGTCGCAATATTATATTCATTGATTTCAAAGTGGCCATGCTGGTGATGACCGTAAATACAGTAAACACAGCCACATCGGTAGCAAAAATGTGATGCTAACACCCAGCGAGCGACATGACTGACTGACAGACAAGCACGGCGTTCCGATCGCTCAGTGAAGGTGCCCGGGCAGCGCCAACCACTTCTGGTAAGACGGGCGAGCGAAGAGCTCGGCAACCCAGGCCTTGACGTGGGGGCGAGAGTCGAACATGGCTCCCTGGTGCGCCATGTTGATCAAGTAGTGCGTGTAGGTCATGTGCGCCAAGTCGGCCAGGCTGAAGAAATCGCCGGCCAAGAACTTGCTCTCCGACAGCCTCTGCTCGTACACATCGAGCACAGCCTCGAGCTTGGCCGTCTGCGCCGCCACCACCGCGTCGTCGCGCGGCGCGCCGAACATCGGCGCGAACACCAGGTTGAAGACCAGCGCGGCGATCGGGCCGTTGTAGTTCTGCGCCTCCACCTCCAGCCACTGCTCCGTCAGGGCGGCGTCCGCCGCCGTCGCTCCGTACAGCGGCGTTCCCTGGTCCGCGTACTTGTGCGCCACGTACCTGCAGATGGCTCGAGATTCTGTCACGCAGTGCAACGCACGTTTTGTTAGTCAGCGCAGTCGCAGTCGCAGTCGCAGGTGGAACGCGCGACCGTCAACGTCTTCCTTCTTTCTATGGACGAACACAGGGTCGAAGTTAGGAACTCACCGAACAGCTGCACGTCCCCGTCGACGATGAATGGGATCTGCCCGAATGGCTGCCATGAACAGAACAAATTTGGTCGCTGTCAGAATTTCCCGATCATCAGAATGCCTCTCGTCTCTATGAGCTGAACGAATGATTACCTTTCGTCGCTTCTTCGGAAGCCTTGTTACTCGAAGTTACGATTTCTCAGGTGTGGAGAACAATGCTGTGACACGGGCTTTGGATCATGCCTCTCGTCCCAATTCCAGTCCAGCAATTCGCATTGCTCTTCGGGAATCTACTCCTGCTGCCACATCTATTCAGCACACCTGAAACAGGAAAGCAGGCCAGAAAATGTGGATTGGAGACCGTGGGGTACCTGATTCTTCAGAAACTCCGGGCTCTTGTGCTCTCCCTTCATCAGGTCCACTTCGACGATTTGGAAGTCCTCGACATTCTTCTCGTAGAGGGCGATCAGCACCCTTCCGGTGCAAGTCGACGGAGCAGTTCCATGGACTTGGAAAGTCATCGGGCTTGGTGAGAGGACGAGGTCTGCGCGAGAAGGAGACGCAGGATGGAAATTGTGCTGTCTCGGGTGGAGATGCGGTCCTCGCTCGCTTGCTGTAGTTGGCGCTGCTGCTGTTGGAGAGTTCAGCTGCTCTTATAGAAGGGGCCTAGGCAGACGAATGAAGAACTCGTCGCGATCTGCATAATGACCCTGAGCGCGATCCCGTTGCCGAGGCAAAGGGATCGCAATGTGATCACCGATCATGGCTGATGTTTCGTCGTCGCTAGGTCCGCCCAAATTTCTGATTCTCCTTGTGTGAGAGCGGCGGTGAGATGAGATCCAGTCCGTCGAGCGCAGCACCCGAAGCACAGAGCCAGTTTGTCAGTATGCCCATGGCACACTTCAGATTTACTACGCACCAGCTGCCGGCACTTCAACAGTCACAACTCTGCACGCTGCTGTGGTAACTTCCATGGCAAGACCTGTGATTACACCTCTGGAATAACAGTAGAATGCAGGACATAAATGCCGGAAGAATCGGTCCAGAAAAAACCGTGCCAAGGATAATTAAAAAGCCACAGATCGCAGAAGAATCGGAGGAGATCGATCGGACCGATCTTGCCTTGCATTCAAGACTCGAGTGGGGAAATAATGCACAGACAGAACCACTTAAAAAAGTCTCGTTCTACCTTCTCTCGCCATCTTTTCCACTTTATTAGTCGGCTCGTCGTCTATCCTTCTATCGCCACTGATCCTCCGGCGACGAGTATGGGTTTCTGTAATCCGGTTTTCTTATTTTGGGAGTATTACAGGATACGGCAGCAAGACTGATTCCTTAAAGCGGACGAGGGAGGAGGGAAGCGCAATCGGCAGGTTCCCGAATGAGGAAGAGGGAGATCAGACAGCTGACCCTTTCTTCGGTGGGATCCTTCGCTGGAAGCTGCTCCGTCTGGACGACGGCATTGTGGTCGGGTCCAGGAAGTCAACCTGCAGCAACAATCTCAGGAACTCCAGGAAAGTTGCAAATCTTGCATTGTGGCATGACAGGAACCCGCTTTTGTCTTTGTATGCACAGGACGTGGATGCCACTGAGCTCATGCACATGAAACAGTGGAAGTCGGAGATGCACCGGAGAACTACTCAGTCCCTCGTATCTCCCACTCAAATTCGAAACCATGGCCTCCCTCGTTGGATGAATTCCCACTACGAATCATGATCTTGACACGGGTGACTTGCAAGCGAACGCTGTTGAGTCCATGAACATGAAGAAGGGTGTTCTGAGAAACATATTCAATTTGGACTGCCCTATGGCGAAGTTGACGTCTACCAAGCTGCTTGCTGAAGCGGAGTTGTGTCTGAGAAGTGAATCCAACTTATTTCTTTATCCTTGACCTCGAATCTAAACTTAAAATATGCTTGCATTGTCTTTTCACGATGTCTATGACATCACTGCACCCGATTCTCGATGGATTTGGTAGCATGATACATTTCTTGAGCCTGTCTTCATCGTTGACTTTTTCAACATCATCAACTTGATTTTGCTTCTTTTTAAACGATAAGTTTTAGCCTTATGACACTTCACATACTCTCTGTAGTCTTGATTTTCGGGCAATGTGTTACTAGTGAGGATAAGGGATACCAATATTTAAGACTCTTAGTTTCAATTCCAAAGATAAAATTTTCAAAACCAACGGAAATAATGAAAGTCTGATCGTAAAGTTCAATATCTCGCACAATGTTGTGTACTTACAAACTTTTACGTTTGTTAAAAAGTGATAATATTGTGGATGATGAAGAGACAATCCTCGCCCAGTGTCATTATGTTTACACATGTACTATTTTCACTAGAGTTCGTCGTGATATGTGTATATGGCTATTTTAATATTGGGATGACAAAAAATTCTCATAATGGAAAATGATAAAAAAAAATCTGTAATTGTGGCTGTCCTGCTTCTAATGCTTTCGTTTTCAAATTATTAGATTCAGGTAAAAACTACACTCATTCTGTTCCAAACTAAGTGTTCAATTTGCAAAATTTATATTAATAAACATCAAACTTTAGATAACAAGTGTAGAATGTTAAGGAATTTTTTTTGGATATTTTTTATGATATGCATTTGATATGTCAATAGCAAAATAGTTATGATACTATTGTAACAACAAAGATTAGATGATCAGTTCATTTAAAAATGAACCAAAAATTTTGAAAAAACATCTAAAATATTTTTCTTTGACCTTAATTTGATTTCTTCTACAGGTAATCACATGAGTGTAAGAATATTCACGAGTTTCATTTTCATCTCAATGTGTACCTTATATAAAAAAGTTAATTTTTGAATATTATTACAATTTTTTTAATCATTTACATACACAATCTTTATGTTAAAATTTTGATGTCATTTTGACCATCAAATTTATTATATAGATAGATGTATCTTAGTTTTCAGATAAATCTAGATATATTTTTTGAATACATTAATTTATATATATAAATATATATAAAATATGTTGAATCAAATACAATTTTTTTGAATAGCAATATTATACTTTAGTATCCAGTTTCAATAGTCTTAGGTAAGATCAACTAATAGTATTCTTTTGAGGTAACAACCAGAAAATAAATGTCCTACATTTCAAATCCATCAAACATACGATTAGAAGGCTAAAATTATATTTCAAATGTTTTCATAATTAACAAATTTGAGTATCAATGATATCATTGACTTCATCACTCGAGTTATGAATTTTGTTCTTGAATATATCATAATGTACATTCCAAAATGATGTTATTGCATAAAATTAAGTTGAATGTCAAACAGATGAAAATCAACAAATTGTGTTATTGAATTTTTATCAAATATCAATCAATCATTGCATGTAATAACACTACGGATTAAATAATAACGCATGGATTGAAACATGTAGTTTACAAGAACAAAATAGCTCTAAGATTATTGTAACATCTAGGATTAAAAGAGTAGTTTATTTAAAAATGAAACAACAAACTCTAAAATATTAACTAAATTTATTTTTCTTCTCCTTATATTGAATTTTCCAATTAATATAAAAAATAGGTTCATATAGTCATTAATTTCACTCAAAATAGATTGATAATATGAAGTATTAAGATAAAAAGCACACATGTTACTGACGTCTTGACTATATATAACACACTCAATTGTTGACACAACGATTATAAGTAATTTTAATATAATTTAATTTTATGAAAATCTTCAATAATTTATTTTTAAACATAACCAAATGAAGATGATCACAATAATTTCAATTTGTTAGTATTTTCTTTTACAATTTTTTCTAATCAATAATTTTTTTCACAAAGCAATATGCATATTTGAGTGTACAAAATTTAATAAAAATTTCAATCCGTCTTTTAAATTTATCTGGAACTAAAATTTTGTTAAAATGAAATATATAAATCTCTAACTCATATCTTGATCCATCACTGCAATCAATCTGACATTCAATATAGTCAGTGAAGTTTTCATTGAAAAAAACCTTATGGAGCTAAAATAAATGCTTATGTGTTGTTTTTTTTATAATAAATAATAATTTTGACATTGTATTATTCAATATACCAGCCAATTTAATCTACTTAAAATTTTAAAACTAACACAAAAAACTCATTGTAAACTTTATTTGTTAAAAATTGAATAATTGACAATCAAACAATAATTTTATAATCATTCAAATTTGAATGTCAAAATTAATTGTTACATGAAATCTTGCAATTTTATGTTTGTATCAATCTGAAATAGTCAAATGTTCCTGTATATTCATGAAGTTCACTCAAAACTTGAAACTAAAACAACAAAAATCATTATCATTTTTCTTTATAATTTAATTGATAGATCAAAACCTTGCAACATTATTATAATCGTCAAAAATTGCAATATAAAGATTAAATATTAAAAACCATTTTGTAGTATTATTTTTTAATAACTTAAGATATTTATATTTGTCGCAAAAAAAATCTTAAGAAATGAAAATTTATTTGTAACAAACATAATGATATGTTAAGAAGAACTCAATGAACATTATTATCTGTAGAGTTTGAATACATCATCGTGTTAATTTTTGTTCAACTATGTTTCAAGCAAGGCAACTAATAAGTCATAAAAATATTTGTGTTAATTATAAAAAGGTCAATATTCCTGGTTTTCAAGTATCTAGCGATGATCTTATATATATTCAAGAAAATTTCTGAATCTCGTAACATAGGGCCTGATAATCCTCAATTAATAGCTTCTTCTCTAGTAATAGTAAAAGTTATTTGACCAAAAACATGCAAATGTTGATTTGATCTTTCAAATATACAATGAGTAAAAAGATACACCATTACATGATAACATTTTGAATACAACCTTGCTAGTTTTAAACACTTTGATGACTTTATTATTTGAATTTTAATTAATATGTAAGTCATGCAGTTAAAAAAATGCATTAGTAAAAATGTCTAAATTGTACATGGTTGTGGAGAAAATATTGTTTCATCAACAAACAGACAGACATATCTTTATGAAGAAAATTTGAAAGATAATCGATTTTTATAAGTCATGAAGCAATTCAAACAGTTATGATATATAAAATACACATTGTATTAAAAATCATTGCTCTCAACATACTTGATGTTAGTTATTATTTAAAAAAAAAATTTCAATTTTTTTTAAAAAATGTTTTGTGTAAAATTTTGCAAGAGTTATAATGTGTGTTAAGTTCTTGCTAAAAATTCTTTGAATTTTTTTAAATATAAATCAATTTTTTAATTATTTTGAAAAATTAAGAATAATTTTGCGTCATTTTATTTTTTATTTAAAAAAATAAGTTTATTTTAACAATTAAAAATTGTATTTCCAAGTGGAAAAAAGCTGCAAATTTCGAATTTATTGATATAAAAAAGATGTACATATTTTTGTAAGAAAATGTCAAAAGTGAATTTGATTGTACTTTAAAATTAATACTTCATAACATATGATAATAATTATATGAATTTTTTTAATATTAAAGTTTAAATAATCATTTTGTACAAATTCAATAATAATAAATTGAAGTAGAGAACAACTACACATACTATATGATATAAACCAAAGATGAAATTATGGGGAAAAAAACCAAAATTAATATAAAAGTCTACATGCTATTTCGTAATGATATTAAACAACCTGAAACACATTCATCTAAAATTTTTTCTTTTGGATGATTATGAAATTGAATCAAACTTTATATACAATTTGATTTGATTGATTGATTGATTTGATACAATCTGAGTTAAAAACAAATCAAATACAAGTCATGATATGTTGTCTATAAGAATTAATGATGTTGGAGGAAGTTTATGATTATGAGATGTGTGAAGCATGCTTAATAATTGTAGCAAAATATCATAGAAATTAGATTAAAATAGTTGAAAACATCCTAGAAATATAATTGTGTGATAATTATTGATGCATTGAGTTAGAATTTTCTTTAATCTAATAACTTTGATACTTTTAAAGTTATTGTTATAAGTAAATTGACAAATTGAAGATGTTTCATCAAAAATAATATTCTTTCATTTA